AAAGCAACAGAAATAATCTGATGATACAGTATGTCAACAACATCAATTCCTTCTCCAGAATGAGCAGAAATGATATTTAGCCTCTCTTCAGCATCACCTCCATCAAACAAGATAAAATCCATTGCAGATTTAGCCCAGACAAATAGTCCAGCAGCTTTTCTCACAAGAAACAATATTTTGTCTGGACCAGGCCACTTTGGAGGCAACCAATTTGCCTCAGAAAACCTTGCAACAAAGTATTTTTCAAGGTCATCATGAGTCTGAGCAGAGACCTCATGTCCAGTGTTCAGATTATGATAAACACTGACTGATCTTAGTCTACTCTGAATCTTAAGATAATGGCGGCTTGTAATGAGAAGTTTCAAAGATTTAGAGAGGTGAGACCAGGATACCAATGAAGGCAACAGTTTGTCATATGAATCACATTCATCAAGAGCATCAACAACAACAAGAAGAGGCTTCACAGAGGTCCCAAAAATTTCCTGTAAAGGCTTGGAAATAAGATGCTCAAATTGCATAGAAATATCAAGGCCTCTGATGTCAGCTTTCTGAGTCTCCAATGCCTGACTGATAGACTTTCCAAAATCACTAGATCCTGAAGAAAAGTCCAAAGCAATACGTCTCCATAAGTTGTCTGGATCCCGAAGCTCAGCCTCATCACGACGGAAAAAGAATTTCCCAGAGAGACAGTCAAAATCAGCAACCACAGTTGAAGCAATTGTTGTCTTTCCAGAGCCAGGACTCCCAGAAAGCCAGAAAATATTAGGCTCATTCGGATCATTGAGCCATGTGTTAATAAGAGTGAGCACATCCTTCCGGGTCCCAGGCATACACCTGTCTCTTACTTTGCCATGTGATGGAGCCTTGAGCTCTTGCAGCCATTTTTGTACCTAGATTGTTTATTAATGATATAAGCTAGTAATAGATTTTACCTATTTTATAACTTACATTTGCTGCCTCAAGGCCTCTGTTGTCATTGATATTGATCTATAGTATACCAATGGTCTTAAGGAAGGAGCATTTGAAACAAGCTGATTACATACAATATTTGCAGAATTGAAGACACCATCATTGATTTGGAAATCATGTGCATGAGCAAACATATTTCTCTGAGATACTTCAGAAGGAAAAATTTATAAAGAAATAGTATCAGAAAGCAAGTTTGTACATACCATTTTCTGTAGTTGTGGGCCTTTCACCAACATGTCTTTTCTCAATAGACATATTGGGCCCAGTCATTATGGGACCTTCCCAAATATCCCTCTTGACATCTGTACAAATTAAGAAATAACACCAAGTTAAATATTTATAATTTGACTCACTTGATTCTTCCTCAACACTGAGACAGACCTGAAAGTTGGGCTTAATAATCAATGAATGAGATGATAAAGAAAGGTGAATATGTATGATATACACTCACAAGTGCATTTAGTTTGACCTGGAAATCTGCAATATATTCTTGATCCTTTCTAAAATTGGCCAATCCCTTGTATGGATTCTGTTGTTGGATCTTGATCGCATCTCCTTTCAAATGGTCCAAAATGCTAGTGGGTGACTTCAATCAAGGCAGTATCCACAATAAAACCAGTAAAACCACACACCCTCTCAAATTATCGAAATTGGGTTTTTGCAACATCAACAGGATTTGACTCTTGTTGTATTGATAGGTAGCCTGAACAATTCCTG